GATATCTACAGTTTAGGAATGATTATGTGGGAACTTACATCTGGATTGCGTCCTTTCTATGATCAGGCATATGATGCTCATCTTATACTCGATATATGTAAGGAAAAATTTCCGTTACGACCAAATATCACAGAAGATACACCACATTGTTGGGCAATTTTGATGCAAAAATGTTAGCAGTCGGATCCTTTAAAAAGGCCAACTATTAATAAAATATACAATTAATTAAATCATGAATCTTGGAATAAAGATGTATTTTGTATGAAAGTGTCTGAAAAGAAACGACAAGAATTGCTTAAGGCCGGAAAATTTAATGCAAAATATAAGCATCCTCATTCTAAAACTCACAGCAAATTATTAAATCCTACTATAGACTCAGCGCTTTTAGATTTATTTCAAGGTTCTGGATCTTTTACATTACGCTCTATAATTTCTTTTCAAAATATTAATGGTGATTCATTTAATATTATGTAAGCAATTAAGTTCATTATCTTTTTTACAAATTGAGCATTTAAAAATACTTTCTCTAATGGTATACAGTCCTAAGCATTTTAAAAATTCCAACGGTTTAAATTCAACTATAAGCTTATCAACTTCAAAAAAACGCATTGCCGAACTTATACCAAATAAAAATGATTGTAAGTTTAAATTCAATGTTACTATTCTATCGATTTAACGTATTCTAGATTTATTTACGACACTATCTTTTATAAGATGAAACAAAACGAAGAAAATTATTTAATAATGGTATATTAGTTTTTTGTTTATTAAACTTTGTATCTATAATTATTGAATAAATATTAATCATACTCTAACTCGCATTCTCGCTTGAATATACTAAAATAATAAATTTATATACGAATCCATATCATTCAATTAAACAAAGAAATGCCAGATTCACAGCCATATATCAATTTGAGCGATTTAAATTTAAATCATGATAAGCTATGTTATGAGGCGGGAAAAGCTCTAGTTGAAGCTGCTCTATGTACAAACCCTGATTTAAAATGCTTGGATTTAAGTTCAAAAAATCTATGTAATGTGGCAGGGCGAGGAATAGCTGAGATAATATGCAATATTAATGCACTAACAAATTTAAATTTAGGAAACAACTATCTGGGCGACGAAGCAGTTACAGCACTAGTCAAAGCTCTGTGTAAAAATACCACCCTTATATACTTAAATTTAGGAAGTAATCGATTTGACAGTGAAGCTATAACAACGCTGGCTGAAGCTTTATGCAAAAATATAGCCTTAACTAATTTAGATTTGAGTCATAATAAATTAGATGAATCAGCAGGAAAAGCACTGGCTGAAGCTTTATGTAAAAATACCACCTTAACGAATTTAAATTTAGATCGTAATTATATAGGTGAATCAGGAGGAAAAGCACTGGCTGAAGCTTTATGTAAAAATACCACCTTAACGAATTTAGATTTATTTAATAATGGTATAGGTGAATCAGGAGGAAAAGCACTGGCTGAAGCTTTATGTAAAAATACCACCTTAACGAATTTAAATT